TGCCACCTGGTGGCTGACAGCTTATGCCAACATTAGTTTTGAAACACCGCAATCTTTATTTACCTCCAAGGATACACGGAGTCTCAAGAACTAAAAGGGACACAGACTCCCTTTCTCTATGCTGGGACATGGCCTAGCTGGGATTGCTGATAGTCAGTTGAGTCTCTCCCCTCAGTACTCCAACACAGCTTACTTTAACTAGATTGTTGCAAACACAAGCAAAATGTGCCGACAAATACACCAACAACTATTTGCATTCATATAGCGCCCTTCACGTGGGGTAGCGTCTCAGAGCGCTCAACAGTGGTGGAGCCTGACACTGAGTCGGGAGAGGTGAAAACTAAGGTCTTCAGCTGTGATCTGAAAATGGGAAGGAGTGGGTAAGTTGGAGGGACCGAGGGCGAGAGTTCCAAAGTTTCAGGGAGTAGTGGCTGAAAACGCAGACGCCAATGATGGATTAAAGATGACGAGGGACAAAGAAGGAAGCTGGAGCCATCTGAGCAGAGGCGGCGGGTAGTGAAATGCGGAATAAGCAGGTTGGCAAGATAGGGAGGTACCAGGGAATGAAGGGATTTGTAGATGAATGAGAGGATCTTGAAGTCGATCCATTTTCTTGAAGTCAATCACAATCACAACACTTTACAAGTAATCCTGTGAAATGCTTTCAGATGCTCCGATGACATGAAACAGCGCTATATCAACCACTTGTGCAAGGCTTATTATTGTTAAAGTATTCTTGTATACACCTACAAATTCCATCTTTAGAAGAAAAAAAGAAAATCGTAAGTTTTATGATCTAACTCTGGGCAGCACAACCAACACATGAACAAAGAAGTGATGCAGCGCAAATACATGCTGTGTTAATGCACTACAAACTGCTAGCTTTCAGGATAGACTGCTTTCTAAGTTTCTATTGGTAAACCCTCAGACCTCAGCAAAACACCGTTATTTTTAGATCATGTCCACATTAATATTTGGCTCCATGTCGAACTTCTGATGAACTGTCAAATGCCAACAGTAATGTGTTGATTTATTTCTCAATGTTGCTTACCTACTCTTTTAAAATGCCAAACAGCAGATTTGTCTGCACCTGCACTGAAGGCGAATCAGAGGGGGAGGAGTGCAGGAGAGAAGAAAAGGCAGAAGGAATGCACTGGAGTATAAATTGTTCCTCCAAAGTGAACAATCACCAAACACATGCAGTTTCCTCTAAACTGTACCCACTCACACAAGATCACAAGAGGGGCTTGTAACAGAAAAGGCCTTTCGATCCATTTGATTTCATCCTTCCAGAATACCCAACCACTGTCTTCCCAACACAGCATCGAGCTCTTTCTTAAATTCATCCAGCGACCTCTTCCCAGTAACCTGTTCGGGTCATTAATTACCCTTTGGGTAAATAAATATTTCCCGCTGTCCGTCCTGAAATTGCACTTTGCAACTCTAAATCTGGGTTCTCTTGTTCTATTGTCTTCATGCATCTGAAAGTGTTGTTCTGATTTTACTTTCCCAATCCTACTTAAAATCTTATACGTGTCAGCCTGGCTCAGTTGGTAGCAATCTCACCTCTGAGTCAGAAGATTGTGGTTTGAAACCTCATATAGTCCAAGCTGACGCCAATCCAATGCTACGGTGTGCTACATTGTCAGAGGTCATGTCCTTCAGATGAAATGTTAAACCAAGGCCATGTCTGCATGTTGAGGTGGAATTTAAAGATTCCATGTCACCATTTGATAAGAGATGGGAGTTTCTCCCAGTGTTATGGCCAACAACCATAGATAGAATTGGTCATTCACTTCATTGTTGTATGTGGGATATCGCTTTGCACAAATTGGCTCCTTCATTCATTTCCAAAATATAATCACTACACTTCACAGTACAAAATCCTGTGAAGTGCTTTGAGATGTTTGAACATCACCCTAGGGTGATGTTCTATCAATTGCAAGTTTTATGATTATTATTAATGCTTTTTTGAATTGGTAAAGCAGACTGCATCTCCCCAGGGAGAGAATGCACGCTCTATGTCAGACAGGGAGAAACTTACATGTGTAGATGGTATGCATATGGGAAACTCTGGTTTGCTGATGGGCTTTTGTACAGCTGACAACAACAATAAAATTACATTTGAAAAGTGCCTTTTATGTCGGGAGGACGTCCCAAGGCTCTGGACAGTCAGGGATCAGGACCCGAGCTTGAGGGGCAGGGTTGGGATGAGGAAGTGCAGAGAGGTAGGAAAGCAGCTGAAGGCACAGTCAAAAAGGAGGGTCTTGAGTCATGCCTTGAAGGAAGCAAGGGAGGGAGCAAGACAAAGGGATTGTGGGATGAAGTTTCAAAGGTGGGGCCAGAGAGGCTGAAAACCTGAGCGCCGTTGGTAGGGAGACATGAAGCAGGTGGGAACCTGCTGAATGGAGGGAACGGTCGGGTTGATAGGGGGTTAGCAGGTCAGAGAGGTAGCAGAGGGCAAGGTGATGGAGAGCCTTGAAAGTTAGGACGAGGATTTTGAATTGTATCCTCTGAGGGATGGGGAGCCAGTGGAGCCGGATTGTTTTGTCATCCTCCTCATTGTTGAGGAGGATGACAAAACAAATGGTGCCCAAAACTGAATGCAATACCCATAATGAGGTCTGATTAACACTATGTATAACAGAACATCACCTTGTTGCTTTTATTTTCCATATCTCTAGCTAAAAGGCCAGTATCCGATTTGTATTATTGACATTTTGTGCCCGAGCAAAATATATTTTAATAATCCATGGATTTGAGCTTCTAGATCTCTATTTATCTATCCTCTCTAATACTCCCTCTATTTAAAACATGCCCTACCTCCTGTCTAGTGTCCACTTGTCTTGTATCTGGTTGTCAACATTTTTATGACATTTATCCAGTTAGGGCAACTGCAATTCCATGAACCGGTCTTAGAAGAACAACAACAATCACCATACTTAATAAATTCCCTCTTGACCCTAATAAGCAACAAAATAGCCACCAAATCAAATGTGCTGGTTAGAAGCTTGAAAGCCATGGCTCAGAAATGATCAACATCAATTAACACTGAAATAGCTATAATTCTTCAAAGGGTAAGGGGCAAAAGAGCAGCAAGTTCACGCAATGGAATAATCTGATATTGCATAACAGATTTGATAACACATTTGATAATGCAATCTGTTATGAAATACTGCATTTTTCACCCACTGTTTTGCACTGTTGCTTTCTGCTGGAGGTACGATTGCAACAAGTGGCTAATTTGGTCTGCGCTTTCATAATGTTTTTAAAAGGCTCACTGCCCACAATGCCCATTACCGGGCATTCTCTGCTTTCTGCATTGTTCAGGAGAATGAGAAAGAAGTGAGCAAGGAGGCTACTGCCACAAGAGATCATTAAACATTGTACTTTGTGTCAGACATTTTCTTGATAAATCTTGAAACAATCCGACTCCATTTTCTTGATATCTTTTTGCCTTTAGCAAAATAATTTAATCAAATGGTGATTTTAAAAAAAGCAAAATGATTAAAAATACATAAACCACGAGGAAATGTGTGATGGCATCTGGTATGGGCTTCCCATTTCATAGTCCTTTGAAGCTGAGGATGCAAATTCTGATAATCCCCATCGGTCTATTGCACTAGCATCAAAGTAAGGTTTGATGCTGGAAACATTGCCATGTAATTCACAAACATTCCCAGAAAGATCCCACCATCAGAGAAATAAAGACTTTGAAAAAGCATCAACAGTTTGATAGAATATTCCCTTCCAATATTTCCTTCTGCCTGCTTCTCTATGTACTCTCCCTTTCCTCCCTTCTCGTCCCAGGTTTGATCCCTGGTTAGTGTTGAGTTAGCTGGTCACAGCACAAGGAGTGCACTGGGTTAAAGAGGAGAAACCAGCTAGAATACCCCACTCCTAATCACTATTCAGTGACTCTTCTTATGGTCTTTGAGTGAAGACTAAATTGGGCTCAACTGTGATGCTCTTTTCGCCCTCCCTCCTCCTGTGATCAAAAGGCCTCTGGCGACCAGGATTGAGGAAGATGGAATCTCTGACAAGACAAGATACTATGAAAGAGTCAGATCTGCTCTCTTCCCCAAAGGAGCAAAGGTGGCTGTAGGAAGCAGCATTGCAAAATGTAAGAGGGAAAAGGAAAAAAAATGAAAATAACATTTAATTTGGGATCCACAACAACAATGGTAGTTCAAGGTTATTTGAAGGGTTAGAGAAGGGCTTCCCATACTATTATAACATTATTATGAAATAAGGGTAATTGTGCTGCTTCTACCATTTAGATATGATAAATGTCTCCATTTGCCTGTTCTTTAAGGTATATAAAGACTATAGAAAATGTTTCCATTTAATAACATTGGTAAAGATTTCTATATGAATTAGGCCATAACTAAATTAGTGAAATAGTACTGTAATGACAACTGGTCAAATCTTTAAGAGCTTTAGACACCGCATTTGACCTGTAGCTTGCAGAGGTCAAACTCTTTGTGTGAGTTTGATTTCTGAATCAATACCAGTGTTAAATTTGAGGACAGTTATGAATACACCGCCACGGTAAAGCAGAGCTAAGGTCATCGTTAGCTGGTCAGGTAGAGAGAAAGCGACCTTTTTTTTGGCGGGGGGTGGGGGGGAGTGGGTGGTGTTCAGCCAGATGTCTGACACGTGTGGAAACCCATCACCATGCTTTAGAGTATCCAAACCAAGCTGAGATTTCCATGCATCACACTTACACATGGAAATCCCAGAGATAGATTGTTGGAATAGAATGCGCACTCTCTCCACGGAGAGACGCATCAACTCAAAGGAGACCTCACTTACCTCCCCCCCAAGGAGCGACCTATTACATTTGAACCCAGGGCAAAAAGCAAAGGTTAATTGCACTATCCAAATCCACAGAGTATTGTTTTCCAAAATAAAATAAACATTTGGGGATGGTTTCACAGCACAATTGTAAATCAAGCTTTGACCAAAATTTTACATACAAATTTCAAAGAAGGCCTTACCTCCTCCCACTGGTGCATATAACGTATGAGTCTTGAAAGTCTTAATAATCGTAAGAGACTGAGGATTTTTGTAAACCTCACAATGCGCAGGGCCCTCGCTGTTTTGTAAACATCAGAATCAAATCCTTTTTCTACAATCAGAAAAATGTAATCCACTGGTATGGAAGAGACAAAGTCTAACATGAACCAGCTTTTCAAATACTTCCACCTGATGACCTTTGGGTCCAGGATGATTTCTGCATTGTCTTCCACAACAATTCCAGTCCTAAAATTGACGATCAAGTCCAAGAGGAAGAAGGTGTCAGACGCAATATTAAAAACAATCCAAACTGTTGATGTTGATTCCGCAAAGAAGGTGATTCCCACAGGTATAATGATGAGATTTCCAACCATAAGCAACAGCATTATCAAGTCCCAGTAAAAGCTGAAAGAAAGCAAACACAGAGATTAAGGAGTGAAAGATGAACAGGCACAGCTATGTTGCAGCATAGAAAGAAAACATTTGGCTCAACGAGTTTGTGCTGCTTTTTCTGCCCACGAGCCACCTAGTCAAATTCCACTCGACTGCTTCCTCCGAATAAAAAAACTTGCATTTGATATTATGCCTTATCACATTGTTGAGGCATCTCAAAGTGCTTCACAGGATATACTGTAAAATGGTGTGAATGTATGTAGTTTGTGGGTAAAGACGGCAACCAATTTTGCGCACATCAATGTCCCTCAAACAGCCATAGAGTGAGTGACCAATTTTATTTGGGAGATTGTTGGCCAGGTCAAACCGTATAATATTCCTTTTGGAGGCTATATGTAGTATTTCACGCTCTTAAACCAACTTGGACTACATGAAGTAACTACTGTAAACGTAGTGTGCACAACAACCCATTAAATGTAGTTAATTCACCTAGATGTTTTCTTTCAAGCAGGCACCAATTAAATATTTATTTCACTCTAAAATCAGCATGAAACTGTGCCCTTTGTTTGACCACACTCCCCTCCTGCACAGATCAAGGCACCAAAGGAAGCTTTATTTTCAGACTACAATAAAGCTAACCAATAACAATCAAATAACTGTATAAGATACCGATCAATTTCTCCACTTCTTCAGTAAGAGGTGGTACGCAATCTGAATCATGCGCTATTTTTATTTCATTATTATTTTCATTTTTATTTCAGTCCCTAGATTTCAACCCTAGCATGGAACTGCAATGACAATGGGGTTTAGCCTTGATCCATTCATTAAAATGGATTAGGCTTGGGTTGTTGTAAGACTCTCTAGAACCAATATAAGTATTATTTGTTTTGTTTTCTGGAAATCTCAGAACTATCATCAGCTACTTTTTATTTGGATGATTTCCTCAAAGGAAGTTTTAGTTTGCTTGGTCAGACAGATATGGAACCCCCTCACCATGCTTAAGAGTATCTAATCCAGGCTGAGAGTTCTATATTTGTGTGCAATCTACACATGAAAATTTCATATTGTTTGGAATAGATTCTGCACTTTCTCACTAGAGCGACACCTAATCCCAGAAAATAATAGGCACAGGCTGCAAAGACCCAAGGCTTGGGGACCCCAGAGTAAAACTAAGTTAAACTTCAGTTTGCCATTGGGAAAATTGTCAGGCAAACATCCCGGTGCTTGTTCAGATTGAACCATCCTACTTGATTGGGCTTTGGTTACAGATTTAACAGGAGCCGAGTGGGAAGAATCCCTGTCCAAGTAACTGGTCTGCCTTTCCAAGTCCTGCTGATGGCCAAGCTGGTCAACAGCAAGTACTGCAGACTTGGCTTAGGAACTGGACTGCTGAGACCACCACAGAGGTTCCACTTGTTTCCAAAATTCCACTACCTGACGCATCAACTCAGAGCCAATTTACCCCTAAGATACCCTGCTGATCCCCCATCCCATCCACTGTAGAATAGCTTATAAAATTCCTTATAAACAAATAAAATTTGATATATGAAAGACGGGACAGACAATCGTAAGGAGATCCTCAAGAAGAGACAGAGCCTGGAAAAATAGATTTATTGTTATATTTAATAATAAGAAGATACTTGCATTTGATATCATGCATTATAACATTTAAACATCTCAAAGAGCTTCACAGAAATGTCTGTAAAATGCAGTGACTTTATTCGTGGATGAACATCGCAGCAGCATTTTATGAAATGCATTTTAATGGGGTCGCCCTGTATCAGCTCATCCACAGAAACGTAGGCTATGAGCAAGGCAGAGGGAAATGCAAACTGCATCTCAGGCTCAAAAATAGGAAAAGAGAGAGCCCTGTACTCAGGTTGATTGTGCAAAATGGGTGGGATACGTGAATATATATTTCTACATTTCATTATTATTTTGTTACATTCCTAAATAATCAGAGATAAAGAGGTCTCCCTGGGGTTAAATTAGCTCAGCATAAAGATACCTGGCAAAGCCAAGTGAGTCTAGAACAATCCAAGACATTGCTATTGGTGGCACAGCATATCTGGCTCATTGGTGAGATTTGAAAGCATAGTTATATTCTCAGCCAAAGAACAACAACAACAAAATTACATTTGTATAGCTGCTTTCATGTCAGGAGAACAAGACAAAGCCAAGACAAAACAAGACAAAACCATAATGGATAGGATGCTCCTAGTTGGGCATGTATCATGCTGTGTGGTTACCTTTCTCACAGTAGTAGTTACATCTACAGTTCCCGTCAGCAGGTTCTAAAGTAACACTGGATTGCTGAAGGAAATTCAATCACGACGTTTGATTTTTTTCCAGACTTTACCAATAGATTTTCTGCTGAAATTGTGCAACAGAATTACAGTTTAAAACCAAGATCCCAAGAGATATTTGAGTGCCAGAACAGGAGAGATCAGAATTTCAAGATTCCAAGATTCCCCCCACCCTCCCCCAAACATAAAGGATTTGCTTTTGGAATTTCTGATATTAAATTTAGTCTTTAGTCACAATGACAACGGGATGAATAATGGCAAAGATTACTACAGCAAACCAACAGGAGTAGGAAAATCTGTTGATCTCATCTGAAGGTCAGCACCTCTGACAATGCAACAACAACTTCCATTTAGTTAGCGCCCATCACGCAGGGTAGCATCCTAGAGTTCTTAACAATGGAAGAGCATGACATCGAGCCAGGTGGAGGAACGTCTTCAGGCTTGACCTGAAGATAGTGAAGGAGGGGGCAAGACAGAGGGATACAGAAAGAGTGTTCCCGAGTTTCAGGGTGTAATAGCTGAATGCATGGCCAACGATGGTGGAACGGATGGCATGAGGGATAAACAGGAGGCCGGAGCCAATTGAGCGCACGCAGCATAGTGGGTTGAGGAGGAAGCAGGTCGGAGAAGCAGGGAAGTGCCACGCCATGAAGGGATTTGAATGAAGAGCTCCTCGAACACTGCACTGAGTGTCAGCCTGTACTATCTACAACAATTAGGGGTTGCTGGAAAGATGGTGCTTGAACCCAATCACAAGATCACAGATTGGTTCTGATGAAACTTCACCCCATCTGATCTCACCTCTGCAGAATATCCACCCTATCATCTTGAAATTGCAGAATCGATCAAGCCTCTTATTAAATCAGTTCATTCTCCTGCTATCAACCACCCTTCCCATCAACTGTTACAGTCATTAATTACCCTCTGAGTAAAGAGAAACGTTATGGTATCTATCCTGAATTTGCCTTTTGTAACTCTAAACCTATGTCCTGTTGTTCTTCTGTCTTAGTGCATTATTAAGTACTGCTCTGAGTGTACATCTCAATTCCATTTAAAATTGTGTACACCTCCACGAGATCCCCTCTGAGTTATTTTCTCTCAAAGCTGAAATCACAATAGGGTGAACAAAATGCTTCTCGGTGAAAGTTACAGTGTTAATGTTGCCTAGCTGTTAGAAAAAGCACCTTTAATAGCATCTCCAGCAGAGAACTCTATGAACATCATCAGCCTGGCTCAGTTGGTAGCACTCTCACCTATGAATCAGAGGCTGTGGGTTTAAACCCCATGTTGGTGACTTTGAACTCACAGTCCAGATGGATACTGCAATGCAGTGCAATGAGATGCATTTTTTTCAGATGAGATGTTAAACTGTGCAGGTAGATATTAAAGATTTCATGGCACTATTTAGAATGAGGAGGGAATTTCTCCCAATGTCCTAGCCAACAATTGCCCCTTGAATGCTCACTTCATGGCTGTCTGTGGGACATTGGTTGCACAAGTTGGCTGCCTACAAATACACAGTCACTGCAATTCATTGTAAAATCCTATGAAGTGCTTTGAGACACCTCAACGACATGCAAAGGTGCGATAACAAATCCAGAGCTAACTTTCTGTCCATGCTTTTGATCAGCTCTCTACACCCACCCCACCACTCATCCTCACCAGCTCTGGTCCTCATTTAGCTGAGTAAAAGGTTTTGAGATATTCTCCCAATATGAAAGAGACTATATAAATGTACCTAGTTGTTGTTGAATCTCCCAGGTACTGTTGTCAACAATTTGCTTTTATTAAAGAAACATTTTAGTCTTTCAGTGCCTTGGTTCCAGTCCAAGTGCAGTATATTTATTCGAAGCACACAGATCCCGTTAGTACTTCTCTGCAGTAAAACAACAATCAAATTACACACTTGAGAAATATCAAATGCTGAACAAAAGCTCTAGTGACAATACAGTGCTGTAGATCACTAGGGCACCATTCCCACTGGAGCAACAGACATTGGTCACCTTCCACATGGAAAGATTTTTTTAATATTCTGCAGAGCATGAAGGGCAGAGGATGCATTTCTGTTCAAAACAACTCCAATATGTGGAGCTGCTATTCACTTCACTGTGATCCTCAGGCCTCAACAGGGCCTGCATTAAATTGCATACTTCAAGTGTTTTATGCCAAGCGTGTGTCAGCCTGGTTCACTTAGTAGCAATCTCCCCTCTGGGTCAGAAAGTTCAAGCCTCAGGTCGGGACTCAAAACTCACAGTCTAGGTTGACACTCCAATACACTGCTGCGGGTGCATTGCACTGTCGGAGGTGCCATCTTTTAGATAAGATGTTAAACCAAGGTCCCATCTGTGCCTGTTCAAATGGACGTTAAAGATGTGGCGTCTCAAAACACTTTACAGTAACGTATCCCGGTAACAGATACCAAACTGACTGCAGCTATTGGGATTACGTTGGGGTTAATGAAAACTAAATATCCATCACAAAATGGAGAATGTCATAAACGATTACGTTGTCTAAACTCTAAAGTGTACTATGCATGTACAACAAGGATTTGTTCAATAACTTGGTTTTGTTTTGTAATAATAATCCTTACATTTGATATAGTACTTCATCTCATCATTGAGAAGTCTCAAAGCGCTTCACAGGGTTTTACAGCGAAGGTTAGTGACTGAGTATTTCTAGGCGAACGCAGCAGCCAATTTAGTCACA